TCCAGAGTTCCTGTGGGCTGGCACCTGCCTCCCCACACTGGGGCCACAGCGCTGGCGGAACAAGCCCTGTCCTGGAGGGCGCCGGCTTGGGGGGCCTGTGCCCTCAGTCCTGGCTGACTGGCCGCAGATGCAGGCTGCTGCTTCTGCTGTGTGGCCACCGAGCCGCTCTGTTGCTGCCCCACTGGACGGGCCCTTGTGCCACCGTCGTGTTCTCCTGTGTAGGCATGGCGTTCTCCCGTCTTCTCTCGTGGATTTCTCTCATGGTGTTCATTTATCATGTTCTCCTGTGTTCTCTCATGGATTTCTCTCATGGTGTTCTCTAATCGTGTTCTCCCATGTTTTCTCATGGTGTTTTCTCATCATGTTCTCTCATGGTGTTCTCCTGTGTTCTCTCATGGTGTTCTCCTGTGTTCTCTCATCTGTTCTCCCGTGTTCTCTCATGGTGTTCTCCTGTGTTCTCTCATCTCTTCTCCCGTGTTCTCTCATCTGTTCTCCCGTGTTCTCTCATGGTGTTCTCCTGTGTTCTCTCATCTGTTCTCCCATGTTCTCTCATGGTGTTCTCCCGTGTTCTCTCATGGTGTTCTCTCATGGTGTTCTCCCGTGTTCTCTCATCTGTTCTCCCATGTTCTCTCATGGTGTTCTCCTGTGTTCTCTCATGGTGTTCTCTCATGGTGTTCTCCCGTGTTCTCTCATCTGTTCTCCCATGTTCTCTCATGGTGTTCTCCTGTGTTTTCTCATGGTGTTCTCTCATCAAGTTCTCTCATGGTGTTCTCCTGTGTTCTCTCATGGTGTTCTCCTGTGTTCTCTCATCTCTTCTCCCGTGTTCTCTCATCTGTTCTCCCATGTTCTCTCATGGTGTTCTCCTGTGTTCTCTCATCTCTTCTCCCATGTTCTCTCATCTGTTCTCCCATGTTCTCTCATGGTGTTCTCTCATGGTGTTCTCCCGTGTTCTCTCATGGTGTTCTCCTGTGTTCTCTCATCTCTTCTCCCATGTTCTCTCATCTGTTCTCCCATGTTCTCTCATGGTGTTCTCTCATGGTGTTCTCCCGTGTTCTCTCATGGTGTTCTCCCGTGTTCTCTCATCTGTTCTCCCGTGTTCTCTCATCTGTTCTCCCGTGTTCTCTCATCTGTTCTCCCGTGTTCTCTCATCGTGTTCTCCCATGGTGTTGTCCTGTGTTCTCTCATCTGTTCTCCCGTGTTCTCTCATCTGTTCTCCCGTGTTCTCTCATCTGTTCTCCCGTGTTCTCTCATCTGTTCTCCCGTGTTCTCTCATGGTGTTCTCCTGTGTTCTCTCATCTGTTCTCCCGTGTTCTCTCATCTGTTCTCCCATGTTCTCTCATGGTGTTCTCCTGTGTTCTCTCATCTGTTCTCCCATGTTCTCTCATCGTGTTCTCCCGTGTTCTCTCATCTGTTCTCCCATGTTCTCTCATCGTGTTCTCCCATGTTCTCTCATCTGTTCTCCCGTGTTCTCTCATCTGTTCTCCCGTGTTCTCTCATCGTGTTCTCCCATGTTCTCTCATGGTGTTCTCCCGTGTTCTCTCATCTGTTCTCCCATGTTCTCTCATCTGTTCTCCCATGTTCTCTCATCTGTTCTCCCGTGTTCTCTCATCGTGTTCTCCCGTGTTCTCTCATGGTGTTCTCCCGTGTTCTCTCATCTGTTCTCCCGTGTTCTCTCATCTGTTCTCCCGTGTTCTCTCATGGTGTTCTCCTGTGTTCTCTCATCTGTTCTCCCATGTTCTCTCATGGTGTTCTCCTGTGTTCTCTCATCTGTTCTCCCATGTTCTCTCATCTGTTCTCCTGTGTTCTCTCATCTGTTCTCCCATGTTCTCTCATCGTGTTCTCCCATGTTCTCTCATCTGTTCTCCCGTGTTCTCTCATCTGTTCTCCCGTGTTCTCTCATCGTGTTCTCCCATGTTCTCTCATGGTGTTCTCCCGTGTTCTCTCATCTGTTCTCCCATGTTCTCTCATCTGTTCTCCCGTGTTCTCTCATCTGTTCTCCCGTGTTCTCTCATGGTGTTCTCCCGTGTTCTCTCATCTGTTCTCCCGTGTTCTCTCATCTGTTCTCCCGTGTTCTCTCATGGTGTTCTCCCGTGTTCTCTCATTGTTTCTCCCATGTTCTCTCATGGTGTTCTCCCGTGTTCTCTCATCTGTTCTCCCGTGTTCTCTCATCTGTTCTCCCGTGTTCTCTCATCTGTTCTCCCGTGTTCTCTCATCTGTTCTCCCGTGTTCTCTCATGGTGTTCTCCCGTGTTCTCTCATCTGTTCTCCCATGTTCTCTCATCGTGTTCTCCCATGTTCTCTCATCTGTTCTCCCGTGTTCTCTCATCTGTTCTCCCGTGTTCTCTCATCTGTTCTCCCGTGTTCTCTCATGGTGTTCTCCCGTGTTCTCTCATCTGTTCTCCCGTGTTCTCTCATCTGTTCTCCCATGTTCTCTCATGGTGTTCTCCCGTGTTCTCTCATCTGTTCTCCCGTGTTCTCTCATGGTGTTCTCCTGTGTTCTCTCATCTGTTCTCCCGTGTTCTCTCATCTGTTCTCCTGTGTTCTCTCATCTGTTCTCCCGTGTTCTCTCATGGTGTTTTCCTGTGTTCTGTCATCTGTTCTCCCATGTTCTCTCATCGTGTTCTCCCGTGTTCTCATCTGTTCTCCCGTGTTCTCTCATCTGTTCTCCCGTGTTCTCTCATCGTGTTCTCCCATGTTCTCTCATGGTGTTCTCCTGTGTTCTCTCATCTGTTCTCCCGTGTTCTCTCATCTGTTCTCCCGTGTTCTCTCATGGTGTTCTCCCGTGTTCTCTCATCTGTTCTCCCGTGTTCTCTCATCTGTTCTCCCGTGTTCTCTCATGGTGTTCTCCTGTGTTCTCTCATCTGTTCTCCCGTGTTCTCTCATCTGTTCTCCCGTGTTCTCTCATCTGTTCTCCCATGTTCTCTCATGGTGTTCTCCTGTGTTCTCTCATCTGTTCTCCCGTGTTCTCTCATCTGTTCTCCCGTGTTCTCTCATCTGTTCTCCCGTGTTCTCTCATCTGTTCTCCCATGTTCTCTCATGGTGTTCTCCTGTGTTCTCTCATCTGTTCTCCCATGTTCTCTCATCTGTTCTCCCATGTTCTTTTATTGTGTTCTCCTGTGTTTTCTCATGGTGTTCTCTCATCAAGTTCTCTCATGGTGTTCTCCTGTGTTCTCTCATGGTGTTCTCCTGTGTTTTCTCATGGTATTCTCCCGTGTTCTCTCATCTGTTCTCCCATGTTCTCTCATGGTGTTCTCTCATCAAGTTCTCTCATGGTGTTCTCCCGTGTTCTCTCATCTGTTCTCCCGTGTTCTCTCATTGTTTCTCCCGTGTTCTCTCATGGTGTTCTCCCGTGTCCTCTCATCTGTTCTCCCGTGTTCTCTCATGGTATTCTCTCATCGTGTTCTGTGTTCTTTCGTGTTCTCCCACATTCTTTCGTTGTGTTCTCCCCAGCTCAGCCAGGAAGTGGGCGGCATGAAGGCTGTTTCCTTTCTCTGTTAAAAACTTAATAAAGTGAAATCCATATCATTATATTTTTTAGGTGTGAAATTTACAAACTTAAAATACTAGCGATGTCACTTTGTTGTGTGTTTCTAAATCAGAGAACTTTAGCAGTGACTGATGGCACAGCTTTGGGGCAGGGAGTGGGTAGAGGGGGACCCCTTGTCTCTGACCAGGAGCATGCGCCCCCGAGTTGCGGCAGGTCCCGGGGCCGTGGGATCAGTGACCTTTGTGGGGATGGAGGTGAGGGCATGAGTGAGGACCCCTGAGAAGGTGACATTCAAGTAGCTTGTAGAGGAGGCTGAGGAGGGGCTGTGGGGGTGATGTGAGGGCCCTGGAGGGAAGGTCGGGGCGGCTCCCACAGGGAAGCCAGGCCGCTCCCTGCTGGCCAGGAAGCCATGGGGTCAGCTGCTCTCAGAGCACACTGGCTTTGCAGAGAAAGGGATGGGGGGAGGGAGGCGGCAGGCGGCTTACAGGGTAGCTGGTGGGGGAGGGGGGTGTGCGGCTAGAGCGGGTGGAGAGGGCGGGCAGGGGCGGGTGGAGGGGAGTGCGGGCAGGGGTGGGTGCAGAGGGCGGTGGGCAGAGGCGGGTAGAGGGGCCGGGCAGGGGCGGGTAGAGAGGGGCAGGTAGGGGCGGGATGCTGTTCACAGGGCCCCATGAATGGACAGCACGTGCGTGTACGTGTGTGCGGGACAGTGTACATGCAAGGCAAATTCTGCGAACGGCGGTAATGTCTGCTGAGGAAGTTGGCAGAAGGCTGCCCTGCAGCTAAGCTTGCAGTCGTGGGGGGTCTGTTGGGGGTTGTTCCCGAGCCCTGGGGTCTGAGGGCCGCAGTGGTGGGGGGCTTGGCTGCTCTGTGAGACCTGGGAGGGCCTGGTTCCTGCCCTGCGTCCACCTGGCCGTGTCCTCTGGCTGGCCGCCCCAGGCCTGTGGGTGCGTGGCTGGGGATCAACCTGGATTTCGGGGGGAGATAAACTGGGTGCTGCGTGTGCACATGCCTGGGACCATGTGTGCAAGGCCGCCCGTGGTGTCCCGGCTCACGGGCGATGCTGCGGTGGGGCCTGTGCCTGCCCGTCACCCGCGTGCCTGCAGCTGTGTGCCCGGTGAACACGTGTGACTGTGTGTGTGTGTGTGCGCACGTGGGACTGGGGGCAGAGGGTCCCACTCGGACGTGTCAGGAAGTGGGGGCAGGGTGGGGGCCGCGGCCCTGAGCTGGGTGCTGGCGACTGTGTACCTCGCCCACGTGAGAACCGCGGTGACCTGTCTGTGCAGCGTCCCAGCAGGTGGGAGTGTGTGTGAGGGGACATGGGGCGAGTTGCGCGCGTGAACAGAGACAGTGAGGCTGCCCAGCCAGGCCCCCGTGCTGGAGGTGTGTGCTGGGCGTGCACGCGAGTCCCCCCGCCCCTGCCACCGTGCGGTGCTGACCCCTGTCCTTTCTGATCCCCCAGGGCCTTGCGGGAGAGGACAATCTGTCCGGAGGCTGCACGTGGCCGGCTGTGGGGCATGGCACAGCTCGGGGAGCCCATGGGAGCCTGGCTTGCCCTGGCCCTGGCCCTGGCTCTGGGCCTGAGTCCCAGCGGCGCAGCGGCCCCGGGGCAGGACTGCACGGGCGTCGAGTGCCCCCCGCTGGAGAACTGCATCGAGGACACGCTGGAGCCGGGGGCCTGCTGCGCCACGTGCGTGCAGCAGGGCTGTGCCTGCGAGGGCTACCAGTACTACGACTGCCTGCAGGGCGGCTTCGTGCGCGGCCGTGTGCCCGCCGGCCAGTCCTACTTCGTGGACTTCGGCAGCACTGAGTGCTCCTGCCCTCCAGGTGGTGGCAAGATCAGCTGCCAGTTCATGCCCTGCCCAGAGCTGCCACCCAACTGCATCGAGGCCGTGGTGGTGGCCGACAGCTGCCCGCAGTGCGGCCAGGTGGGCTGTGTCCGCTCCGGCCGCAAGTACGCCGCCGGCCACACCGTCCGCCTGGCGCCTTGCCGGGCCTGCCACTGCCCCGACACGGGCGGCGAGCTCATCTGCTACCCGCTGCCCGGCTGCCATGGAGACGCCGTCCCCGGAAACGCCTCAGACGCCGAGGAGGGGGACCCTGAGCGGCACTACGAGGATCCCTACAGCTACGACCAGGAGGTGGCCGAGGCAGAGGCCCTGGCGGGCGAGCTCCAGGCGGGAGCTGGAGGCCCGGCCGCTCTGGGAGGCGGGGCTCAGCCGCCTTCGGCTCTCCAGGCCACCCCCTGGACGGCTGCCCTCCCCAGGCCCACGGCGGCCGCCGCCCTGGGTCCCCCGGCCCCCATGCAGGCCAAAGCCAGGAGAGTGACAGAGGATGGTCAGGAGGACGGGGAGGCACCGGCCGTCTGGGAGCAGCTGGCCGCAGGCGGCCCCCGGGGGCTGGACGGACGGCCCACGGCAGGCCCGATCCCGGGTCACCCTGTCCGGGAGGAGGGGGCCGAGGCCAGGGCCGGGGTGGAAGAGAACCTCATCCCCGACGTGCAGGTCACGCACCGCAGCGCCGGGCCCCCTCCCACGTTCAGCGTGCCCGACATCCTCCCGACCGAGACCACACAGGGCCCCCCCGAGGGCCCCACGGAGCCCAGTGCTCATGCCGCCCTGACCACACATCACCAGGAGACAGCCCGCACCTCGCCCACCCAGGAAGTGCCCAAGCAGCCGGCCGGGCCCCGGTCCCGGCTGGAGGAGGAGGAGGAGGAGGACCCCAACTCCGTGCACTCTGTCCCGAGAGGCGGCCTGGAAGGTAAGACTCTTCCCTGGCACCCCCAGGGGCGCTCGGCCAGCGGAGGGCGTCCTTGGGGCCTGGTGCTGGCCCAGGTCTGTGCTCAGCTGGAGAGGAGGATGGGGGGTGGTCTGTGGCCGAGGCCCACCCCTCTGAGGGAGCCCTGGAGACCTGTTGTCTGGAGACCTCTCTCCACGGCAGGGAGTCCACGTCCTGTCCCATCCTGGGTCGTTCTCTCTGAAGACCCTCACTGGGCATCAGCCGTGGGCAGGCCCTGCGGGACCCTGGGGAGGCAGGCATGGGCCCGGCTGACCCTGGTCCTTGGGCTGTGAGCAGGCCACCCCTGGGTGGGGTCCAGGAGGGTTTCCTGGGGACGGGGGGCCCGTCTCTCCAGAGCTGTGGTCCTTGCCGGGTGTCCACGCTGTGCTAAGGCTGAGACTGCAGACCTCCCCTGCCCGACGGCTGCTTCCCTCCATCCTGCTCCCAGTGGACGGGCACAGAGCTTGCCCTCACCGAGTGCCTGCCCCATCTGTGGCTCGATCCCCCCACAAGTTGGGTGCTGGGCTCCTTCTGATTTTCAGCCGACCATGTCGAGGGTGGAAAGGTGTGGTTCGTGGAATCGGGTCGCATGGCGGGAGGTGGCAGGTTGCCACCAGGGCAGTGGGCTTCTAGGGGCTCCTCCTCACCCAGGCCCCCGGGCCTGCAGGAGGCGGGGAGCGTAATGAACTCCACGTGTGCCCGAGCGGGTGGGCTCGCAGGCCTGGCTCCCGAGTCTGTGCCTGCAGCCTCCAGGGTTTCCAAAATAGACACGGCCCCCCACCCCCTCTGCTCGCTGCCAGAGGCCTCTCTGTGGCTGTGGGCCTTGGAATCCTAGAGGGTTGCTTTGTTCTCGGGAGCCCCAGGTTTTTTCCTCTGCCCGGGCTTTCTCAGATGGGCTTTGGGGTGTGGCTGCTGATGCAGTCGGCTGGGGGGTAGGGGCCCCTGGCTCGAGGGTTGTCCTGGCAGGGGACAGTGGAGGGCGCGGGCAGGGCACAGGCTGGGTTTCTTCGTGTTCCTCTGGGGAGGGAGGTGTGGACAGTGGGGGTCGGGCGGGGTAAGTTTCAGTGGGACCCAGGAGTTTGGCCCTGGCCGCGTGAACAAGAGCTGACTGCCGCCCATCACCCCATCTGTCTCGCTGCCTCCTCCTCACCCCGACCCCGACCCCTCTCCTGACCCCTGACCAGTTCTCCCGCCCTGTAACTCAGGCGGGCACCACTTTGTGGCTCGCTTTCTCCATCTATAAGCGCAGGGAACCCCTTCGTCGGGGGCGGGGGAGGGTTCGGAGGGTTAAATGAACTACTCATTCAAGCTCCGAGCGGGCTCAGCCTTGCTGAGTGGTTAAAAACGCTCCTGGTGATTGTTCACCATCTGTTTCTCGATCCGCCCACTCAGTTCCTACAGCAGACAAGTAAGGAACAGCCTCTCTGCACCAGGGGTCATGCTGGTGATGCTGGGCGGGCACAGCCCCTGCCCTCTGTGGTCTGATGGGGGCAGAGGGCGTGCGTGGATGGGCACATGGAGTTATCCGTGGTCACCACCATGCACTCAGTGTGGGAGGGGAGGCCTGGGGGGCGGGGGCCAGGGGTCCGATGGCGCCTCGCCGGGGCAGCCAGGGCCTCGGCACCTTCTGACTGCTGTTGGGGGGGGGGGTGGCTGGGGGATCCCGAGGGAAGGAGGGGCCCTTGGGTGAAACTGAGGAGCTGGTAGCTTGGTCCTGCTTGCCCGTGGGACCTGCTGAGAGGTGGGTCACGAGGCGGAAATGACCCTTGGCCATGTTGCCGAGGCAGCCCAGACCTGGAGAAGGTGGTGCCAGCCATTGCCCCAGGCCCGGCTCAGGCAGGGTTCTGAGCCTTGTCAGGGTTCCCGGCTGGCTCTGGGCATGTCCAGATGGAACCTGATGGAAGCCACACACCCGACTCCCCAGTGGGGAGAGGGGCTCTGACGTCTCCTGTCACTTGGGGGCTGCTACTGCTGGGCTGGCAGGATGGAGGGACCCAGGGACCAACCCACCCCACCTCCCTGAGTGCAAGGGAGGGAACCTGGGGTCAGGGTGGCCCAGCTAGAGGCAGCCCCCCTCCTGGAAAAGGACCCCAGCAAAACCTGTGGGCCCCGGGACCCTGTGGGAGCAGGAGCCCCCGGCCCCTGTCAGGGCTTCACGCCTCCAGAATCTGCCAAGGCAGGGGTGTGTGAGCAGCTCGATGTCCGGTTAATAGGGAAGCTTTGGCACTGAGATGGCTCAGACACCGTAGCATGCTCATGGCCTGTGCCTGCACTGTCGTGAGCCCTCTGAGATCAGAGGCCCCTTCAATCATCACAGCCGCCCCCTCGGCACACGGTGGAGGAATCAGGGCCGCTTCCCCACCGACACATGTGTAGGAAGCGGCAGGCCCACCCCACCCCCCGTTTCTCCACATCTTCACCCCGACAGTCACTTCCAGTGTCCGGCCTGCCTGGGGGCTGTGATGCATGCCAGATGTACAGTGTTCACCAAAACCCAGTGCAGCCCTGCCCCCCGACTGTTAGATTTAGTGGAGGAGAACAACTGGGCGTCGTGGGAGTGGCGCGGATGTGCTCTGTGAGCCTGTCCGGGGGATCTGACGTCCCTGGAGATCAGGGAGGGCTTCCTGGAGGAAGGGCTGTTTGAGCAGGAGGAGCTGTTGACTGGGTGGCAGGTGGGGAGCAGAGAGTGCGCCCGGCAGAGGCCACAGCAGGTGCAGAGGCCCTGCAGGTGGAGGGGAGGTTGGGCTGGGATGAGGCTGTGGCTGGGGTGAGAAGAGGCCCGGGAGGGGCAGAGACCGGGCCCAGGGCAGCTGTGTTACCCTCAGCACGAAGACGGGCCTTTCCCCTGGGGCAGGGGCCATCCCTGCCTGCGTGAGGCAGGAGCGGGTACAATCTTGGGCCATGGAACGCTTCCTCTGGGTGCCGGCGGCAGAACGTGGGGCCTTCAGTGTCTGAGGTTCTCCGGGGTCCCCCAGAGTCACCGGGTTGTGGGTCCAGGCAGCAGAGAGACCCGCCCAACCTCTGCCTGGTTTCTGGACGATCGCCGTAGGCCGTCCCCTCCCATGTCCGCTCCAGCCCGGGCATGTGGGAGGTCTGAGAGGTCCCTCGGCACGGCCAGGGGACCCGAGGGAGCCAGGCTGGAACCTGGACAGCTGAGCCCATGTACTGTGCCAGAGCGCCTGGCCCTCCCGGAGCAGCCTGGAGAGGGGGTGTCCCCCCAACCCCAAGCCGAGCTTACAGGCAGGCCAGGTGGCCCTTCCCTTCCTCAGCCCTGGCCCATGGCCGCTGAGAGCCGCGCAAGGGGCAGACCAGGGACCCGGGCCGCCCCCAGCCCCTGCTCGTCCACCGTGAGGCCCTGGGTGACACTCCGCCTCGCTCCTCGCGTGACCTGAGGCCTGGGATGGCGCCTTTCTGAGCCCCAGGTTCCTCACTGACCCCGGGCAGCCGGGGCTGCCCCCCATCCCATGTTGTTTTGTTCAGTCGCTTGGTCGTGTCCAAGCCTTTGTGATCCCTTGGACTGCCACACACCAGGCTTCCCCGTCCTTCCCTATCTCCCAGAGTTTGCTCAAGCTCCTGTCTGTTGAGTCGACGATGCCACCAGATGTCTCATCCTCGGTTGCCCCCTTCTCCTCTGTCTGCTGTTGGGCTAAGGGTTTACGCCAGTGTCACGTGTTAGCGTCTTTCTGCAAAGCATCTTCGTCAGCCCTCGAATCTTGTTGCACACAGTTAGAAGATGTCACGTGAACTTGAGCTTCCTGGCTTTTGTTGGAAATCAGCAGCTGTGGGCCCGCCAGGCCCCTGTGTCCTGGGGCAGGGGATCTGAGAAGGTGCTGCGTGCCCGTCGGGGTGCAGGGGGAGAGCTGGATTGTCCTGGGCCAGTCCTCCTAGGTTTCGTCACCGGCCTGGCCCCGGTTGGCAGCTGGGGGATGGATGGGTCCTCTGCAGGGGGTGCCTGTCAGGGCACTGAGATGTCCTGTGTGGTGACCTTGGGAGGGTCTGTGTGGTCCTTCTATCCCATGGAAGAGGAACTGGGATCCTGAGAGCGGAGGGGGTGGGAGGTGCTTTTCTAGAGGTCACGGTAGAGCTGAGCAGGGGGTCCTCGTCTCCCAGGCGAGGGGTGGGCTCACAGCTCCCATGGGGCAGTGGGGGCAGGAAGAGGGGGCCCCGGCTTTGGCTGCCCCAGAGCCTATGGCACTTGGAGGAAAAGGGTGCATTTTACAGCATCTCCCCAGAGTGAGGGTCTGGGGCCAAGGGCTGGCCTGAGGGGGGGTTTCTTGGCTTTAGAAAAACGGTTTCCTTCCTTCCTGCCTCCCTCCCTCCCTTCCTTCCTAGACAGCTTTATGAGACATTGTTCGTGCACCATTAAGTCCTCCCATTTAAAGCGTACACATTCAGTAGGTTTGTCAGGGTCATGAAAACATCATCGGAATCTAATTCTAGAACATTCTCATCACCCCAGAAAGAAAGCCCACACCAGTAGCAGCCACCTCCGGCTTCCTCTTCCCAGCCCCCAGCAGACTCCGGTCTCGTCCCCGTCTCTGTGGATTGCGTGTGCGGGACATTCCTGGACGTGGAATCACGGAGTACGTGGTGTCTGGGGAGTGTCCCTGGTTAGTTACTCAGCGTGATGCTTCGGAGTCCCCTCTGTGTTGCAGCGTGAATCGGCTGCATTCCTTCTCGCGGCAGACATTCCAGTGTGTGGATAGGCCACGTCTCTGTTGATTCATTCGCCGGGTGGTCAGCACTGTTGGCAGCTTTTAGCTCCTGTGAGTGCCACTGCTCTTGGTATTCATTACATATCTTTGAGTGGACATCTGTTTTCACATCTTTGGGGAATGTCCCCAGGAATGTAGTATTGATGAGTCATCTGGTAACTGTGTGTAACTGTCAGATGAAACACTGAACTGTTAACCCACAGCAGCTGCCCCACTATCTTCACCAGCACTGGTTGTTGTCTGTATTTTTAAAGAAATATTTAGTTT